GCTGTATTTTCCGATAGGACAGTCCCAACAATTGGTTGACCCCGCTCTGTTACTGTATTGTCCGGCAGGACAGGACGTACAACCGCTTGACGCCGGTCTGCTACTGTATTGTCCGGTAGGACAGGACGTACAGCCGCTTGACCCCGCTCTGTTACTGTATTGTCCGGCAGGACAGGACGTACAACCGCTTGACGCCGGTCTGCTACTGTATTGTCCGGTAGGACAGGACGTACAGCCGCTTGACCCCGCTCTGTTACTGTATTGTCCGGTAGGACAGGACGTACAACCGCTTGACCCCGCTCTGCTACTGTATTGTCCGGCAGAACAGTTCTTACAATTGGTTGACCCCGCTCTGTTACTGTATTGTCCGGCAGGACAGGACGTACAACCGCTTGACCCCGCTCTGCTACTGTATTGTCCAGCAGGACAGACCTTACAACCTGTGGACCCTACTGTTTCGCCGTACTTTCCCGCTGGACAGTCTAAACAGGTTGTAGAACCCCCGCCTGTGCTGTACTTCCCGGCAGGACACATCTGACAGGACTCTGCTGCCGAAGAATTGCTAAACTCCCCTGCTGCACACGGCACGCACATTGTCCTGTTGTCGTTACTGGCCGTTCCCGCTGGACAGATGTCTTCCTGCTCGTCCCCCAGCTTACACTCATGGCCGGGACGACATTGGCGGCAGGTGAAGGCATTGCTGCTATCAGCTGCAAAAAAAACAAAAACAACAACAAATATACGACTTTCTAAATACCTCCAAAAATAGTTTATTTTGGAACGTGACATCTAACATTTATTATTGTAGTAGCATTATGCACAGCAATGATTTGTCTCTGATTTTGTTCTAAAAAAGTTTGTTGTGTGTATCATTTTAGAACGTCTTGGAAATAAGGAAGCGATGCTTGGCTCTTTGACTAAAGAACTGATTGTTTTCCGCCATGTATAAAACACTGTCTTTTCAATCGCACAACACTTCATATGGCATAAGTTGTGTGTAAAAATTACTAGGTCTATACGTCATGTTTTGGGGACACGTATACCAGACCATACCTCACGTATGGCGAAACGTCCAGATACGTTGCAGAATGATGTACTTCACGTATTAGTACGTTTAGCTATACGTTGTGAATATGTCATAATTAACGTGTTAGAATTCCTGACGTAATAAGCAACATGACAGCAACATGTGGTGTAGACCAGATGGAGAACAGATTAATCAGATTGGCTTCTGGGTATATAGCAGCACCTGTACGCCATATTGTCAATCAGTCTCTAACAACGGGCTGCTTCCCTAGCCAATGGAAATCAGCAAAAGTACGCCCCCTACCAAAAAATCCCAGAATGCAGCTGACAGGGAAAAATAGTCGGCCAATTAGCCTATTACCGGTGTTGAGCAAAGTGTTAGAGAGAGTGGTACATGACCAGATTCTACATTATGTAACCGCTAACAGCATTGTGTCAACTGCACAACACGCCTATCGTCCTAACCACTCAACCACTACTGCCATGGTTAAGATGACAGACGACTGGTTGTCAGCTATGGATAAAGGGGAGCTTGTTGGAGTTGTATACTTAGATTTTAGCGCAGCATTTGATCTGGTTGATCACGCTATTCTCTTGGCTAAACTTAAATCTTACGGGTTTCAACTAGATGTTTTGGCTTGGTTTGAAAGCTACCTACAGGGCAGAACACAGGTTGTTTATGTTAATGGTCATTTTTCCCAGCCATTTGGGCTTGACTGTGGAGTACCACAGGGCAGTTGTTTAGGTCCATTGTTATTTACACTGTATACGAATGATCTACCGTTAGCTGTATCACAATGCTCGACCGAAATGTTTGCCGATGATACATCACTTTACAGGGCTGCCAAGTCAGTCAGTGCTATTGTTGCAGCTTTACAACCTGATCTTGTAAAAGTGACAGACTGGGTCAATGCCAATCGTCTTGTCATGAACGTACTGAAAACAAAATGTATGCTATTTGGAACAGCCCGCCGGCTAGCTCTTCTACCTGACACATT